CCCAAAAGGGCTTATTAGAGGATTTACAGTAAGTCAAAGCTGAACTCAGCCAGCCTGTCTGAGTTTATTGCATATAAGAGAAAATAGCTTCTGGTAGTAACTGAAACATTAACATTATTCATTCCAGACCCCAGAGCATAGTCTGCAGGGTGTAACAAGCACACTCACACATCTTACTTCTGACTCACTCAACGAGTGTGTGTGGTAAGGCTAAAAGCCACAACTGTGACCATAATTACCTGTAGGTGACTTACAAGTCTCCATTAATATTTACGTGCAGTGCAAAAGGCTAAGATTACCTTTGCCTGCTTGAAACTTTGTCAATACTTCCACACTTTACACATCAGTGCCCATAGTAAATTTTAAGCATCTTACTATATGCTTCAACTGAGCTTACCCATTTCCACCTCCATCTTTGGATCTTCATACAGAATGTAAATTAAGAGTTGTCTTATAGTGACTGGCTTGAAATCAGGATAAACAAGTGAGTTTATCGCTCAATTGTCAGTTTAAGACGACCCTACATAAAAACTTTGCCCATAAAAGTGTCTGAAATTTTGAAACTGAACAGAAGTCATCTCCACTGTCAAGTGATCAGGACTTTTGCAAGACTGAGATGACGACTTCAAGAAAAAGTGTTGAAACATCACTCGCTATTGCTGTCAAAAGTTTTAACCAGGGCCCGGTGGTTCAAGGAACAAATAATGCTATCCAACAGATAAATCACTTTCCAGCAGATACTGTAATCTTCCCTCAGAGGACTTATTTATTTCAGGTACTTGAAGGGGGGGGAGTGGGGTGTGGTTTATTAGAGGTTAGGGGCTTAATAAAGGGAAGGAGGGGCCTATTAATTTAGCCCAATGTTCACTACCAGGATACAATAGGATATGATGTACAGTATTTGTTAAAAAATTGTTCTCATTTTACATTTTTTCATTTACCAAATTGGCAAACTCAGAATTCTCAGTAAAGTCTGATGAGTTGTATGATTAAATTACAGTACTTGAACAAATTTATCACATGGAGTGTTATTTTGAATGCTAGTTTTTTGAGGGGTGGGGTAGGGGGGCTTAATAAATTTCCTCCTTTAAAGAAGGGGGGCTTATTAGACGGGGTCAGCTTATTAGAGGGGGGGGGGGGTTTAATAGAGGATTTATAGTAAGTGTTACCAAAATGTACTGCGCTATCCACCAGAAAGAAATTTATCAAGTGGATAGCACTAACCACCCTTTGAACAAGGGGGACCAGGACTACACTGTATCAGGAGCCCATTACCCGGAGCTTCCATCTTCCATACTGAACCTCTGAGCCAACCCTGTCCCGTATCTTTCTATTTTTAGAAGCACCACCCATGGTGGTTTTCACGGGTGTTTTTATAATAGCCAATCATAAGAGAGCTGTCGTCTCTATTGTGTTACGTCTATATTGTGTCAGTTGCAGGCCATATGAAATTATTTCAATAATGGCGGAAAGCGCGGAAAGATTAAAGAACTCCCGCAGATATCTCAGTTCTAAAAATAAAAAGATACGGGGCAGGGTTGACTCAAGGGTACAACTGAGATGGAAGCTCCGGGTAATGGACTCCTGACTGTATGTAGCCTGACGTGGATGATTGCACTATACATGTGGGTCATAGTGTTTTGCCCAAGTACACCCAGACCTCTCCACCCAGAGTCCAACACACTAACATAAGAACATAACATAAGAACACCCAGACCTCTCCACCCAGAGTCCAACACAGTAACATAAGGCTACCGCACCCCTCACTGACATCATCAGATCAAACAGCAGTTACCTTGCTCCACCTCCATCGATAGACAGTACTTTGATTCCTCTTCCCTTGACGGGATCGATCCATCCCAGTAAAGCCAACGCTTTTTGCGCTTCCTTTCGAACCTCTTTATTTCCCTTCTTTCGAACACTTAGCAGGAAGCTGATGGCTTCTTCTCGAATAGCTTGACTCCTGCCGACACTTTGATAACGAAGGATGTGGTCGTTAAATTCTTCTAGACGAATCAACCATGACTGTTCATTTTTTGCAGATCGTAAAGCTTGAACCAGAGATCGCGTGCGATTTTGAATACTTGACACTGTTTTCAGAGGAACATAAGAGGATGAAGATTTTCCCGCCGATGGAAATGTCCTGTAAAACGCCGAGGCAGATTTTAAAGGCAACGATAGTGAAACAGCTTTCTCAACTCGCAAAACATGGTTTGAAAGTCCCGCCATATTTACTGTACGTGTAGTTCGCATTTTCACAAATAACTTGCAAATTTCAACATGGGTCCTCGAAGCAAAAGCTCCTCTTTCCAATATAAAATATCATCCATTGTGATTCTCACTTCACAAATCGAAGAGATTGCCAAACTAAGAGTATAACGTGAAAAGTCCAAACTTCCTCTTCTTGTCCGCCATGTTTTGATTGTTACCAGTCTCTCTTCGGGCTTTTTCTTTTAATGAAAGTGGACTGGCGCGACTGTAATAATTGTTATTCACCTCCAATCTCATTTTCTTCATCTTTTTCATCCCACATAAACTTTAGGCTACATGTCATCTTCCCCATTTTCTAGAAATATTTTTCACCCCTCGTATAATCTTCATTCAGTGATCTCGCAAACAAGGAATGCTGATTTTATGCTAAAATATTGATTTAATTCCTGAAAACCTGACCTGGCGAGACTGCTTTGCAGCCATTTCCGGTGTCGTCACGCCAGGCGAAGGACTCCCCACCGGAAATGGCTGCAAAGCAGTCAAGGCGAGAATAAGCAGACGCAAGTAGCTGGTAGAGAGCGATTTTATCCTATTTGTCTTGATGTAATAAACGCTGCTCTAGAGTAGGATTTCCGATATAAATTCATACATGGATTCCGAGGAGAGTCCAAGTAATTTAATTGACTGATATAAAACCTTCCCTTACTTGTTTAATCAGTAAGAACTGGAGTGATATAATTTTATGGGGGAGAGGGAGAGGAGGATGAGGTCATCTTCACTCAATCTCGAGTAAGCTGAATACCTTACCGTGTCGTGAACAACCAAAACGCATATCCAGCATAAAAACAAGTAGTTTTATTTACAATAATTCTACTTTTCAGCCCATTTTATCAGGCCATAGACGGTTGGTCTATTTTAAGTTTACTATGTGCATTTGCAATTGGGAATTTTATCAACTTGCTTGCGTTTAAGTTCGCCAAACGAGCAAAAATTGAAGGCCAACAAAGAACTCAACATAAAGAAAATACTTTTTTCTCAAAATTGGCTGAAAAAAAAAACAACTGAAAGATACAATACAAGAAACAAACAAACAACAAAAAGTCTTATAACTTCTAGTAAATTGTCCTGAAAAAAATTAATTTCAGTTCTTAGTCACTGTAGTCTCCTTTGCAGCCATTTTATCTTTCTGGGGGGAAGGCGAGTGCGTATGTGTGTGGGAGGGGGGGAGCGGGGTGGGGAAATAGCGTCGCTTTACATTGCAAGAATCGGCTGCAAAGTAGACCATTGCCATTTCTTTCGCTGTTTGACAACAAAAACATTAATATATTTGATAGATAGTTCTTAAAATCGATGTAATTTTTGGAACTTAAACTTCTCTTTCTCATAATACTACATCTCTTCCTTTATACATAGATACAATCCGAGAATTAACTGTTTTACTGTACTTTATGGCAATAAATTACAAGCCACACCTAGCACAGACGGTATATTGGCACACGCAACTCCTAAAGGTACTATACATGTCCAACAACGAACCGCTGCAAACATCATTTATTATATGGCTGTGTCTCACAAGGACTGGGAACTACCGAATTTGATTGGCTGAAATCAATATTAAAAGCGGTCTAGATTTTCCCATCTAGACTGGCATCTAGACCAGTCTAGAAAAAAACGGTACAAAGAATATAAAAAATTGGCATATAAGACACAGCCATATAATAAACATCTTATTAACCGAGCTAGGTCGGTCTGTATGGGAGAATCTTGACCTCGGTCGCTGGTACAGACCTCACTGCGTTCGGTCTGTACTGGCGACCTCGGTCAAGATTCTCCCATACAGACCTCCCGCTTGGTTAATAAGAACTAAATAATAAACTTAAATATACTATTTCTGGCTGACTTTTTTGTTTCTTCATGACATAAACTAATAAAACATTCAAAGTTGCTCTACGAGGAGGATTATTGACAGTTTAACAAAAATGAGCTACAAAAAGGTTTCCAGTCTTTCTCCAATTGAAGATAAAGCGCATTTATAAATATCCTTGTGCTTCGAATTGTGGTAGGCAGCTTTAGTAAACACCCAAATTCCAGTTAAGGTACTGCACGGGCGTTTTTGCATGCGCTGTGTATGCGGTCACATCCCGCCGACATGCGTTGCACCACGTGCAGTCGCTTTCCACATTCCGGCGAGCGTCAGTCGTCAATTTCAGCACTTCCTACCAAACCTCAACAAGCATACAGTAATTAGACACTTCTTCCAAGGTCTTCTTGTTACCTCGAAAGCAATACAGAACTAGTAGACAAAAATATAATGCAAAACAAAATAGGCTAGTAAAATGTCTCCTGACTTCATAAAACTCAATATTCGTGGCCTGTAATCTCTGAAGTATTCACACATTTTTCCATAATTGTTGTTTCACAGATTCACCATTCTTTCCACTGTGGTACCACGGATAAGGCCCACAGGTGACCCCATTACACTGTGGTCACATGAATAGGTCCCACAGGTGACCCATCCGGGTTTCGTTGGGTTAAATATTCTCGAACTGTGGTAAAGTCGTCGAACTGTTTTTTATTCATTTTACGATGACTCATCTCTACAATGATATCCCGACGTCCTTTGCCACTCTCCGAACCGCTGCCCGTGTGCGGGCTTTCGCATTCTTTCAGCTGTTGCAGTTTTTGGATTTTTTTCCGGCGCGCCTCTCGCACCCGTTCTAAATGTCGCCTCCGGTCCTCTCTCGGCCAATAGCGGCCTTGATAAATCGTTTGAGTATCGTCGTCAGTCGTAATACCTTTGCGTTCGTCCGTGATTTTTTGCGCACGTTCGCGCAGAAGTTTGTTCCGCGCTTGTCGAGCGGGCGTCGCGGGTCTCTTACGCACAAAAATTTGACTACCGTCCTTGGACATGCGCACTTTCCATTCCATGTTCTGTTGAGAACCATTGAGTGATTGGTTCTCAACGAGGTTGGACTTCTTTTTACTCCGATGATCGTGATAATCACTCTTTCCGAAGACGTCCGACTCTCCGATTAAGTTAATATGCTGGCTCGAGTCCTTACTTACAGCCCTTATGTAGGAAGCGCGAATTGTCCTGCTAACGTTGCCTAGTTTGCTATTGCGCTTTGGCTCCGAGTGTCTGCTGCGATCCCGTTCGCTACGAGCTTCATCATGGTGATTGTCTTTATGTGAGTCACGATTCCTTCGGCGTTCTCTGCTCTTCTCCTTATCCTTTTCCTTTCTAGGTGGCGAGTTACCATTGCGTGTAGGCGAGCGAGAACTTTTACTCGGAGACCCGTTGCTGTGACGTCGCGAACGAGAATTTTCCGGTGAGCGCTCTTTGCTATTTCGACTTGAGTCCTTCCCGGAATGGCCACGAGATTTCCCAGAGCAGTTATTTCCAGGAGAAAACGCTCTATCTTCCTTCTCTCGCGAGGAACTACTGCCCTGTCGTTCTCGCATGTTAGAATCGTCCTTTGTAGAGCATTTATCGCTACCTTCGTGAGAATTTCTCCGAGAATCAGCCAAATGCGGGGCTTCCTCCCCGAGTTCTAGCTCAGAGCTTTCGTCGTTTTTAGTGCTCTCATCTGTTCTTCCAACACCGCTGTCCTTTTCGCATTTCTCTCCGTTAGCTTTTTCACAGTGAAGTGCATCGTTTAATTCTTCGTCTTCCTCTTTGATGACGTCAATTCTGAAATTGCTTAACTCGGCATCAATCGGATCCACGAAGCTCCATTCCTGACTTCCCTCGCTGCCAATCAGAGTCGCTCGTACCTACAAGACAAATGAATAGATATGAAATAACGTAAGGACGAATTTGGAGGATGGAGGGGGGTGGGGTGGGGAGATCCTAGGTATGGTTTGATGTCAATACCCGCAGTCTGACAGTGTTTAGCAATTAAACGGGATTTTTGTTACAGAGGGTCGTGTTTTTTAAGGTCTCAGCAGCAAATCCCCGCTGGAGCTTTTCTCAAATCAGTGCCCCACGAGAACTATAATCATTTCTGCACAATGGGTTGGGCGATTCAGAGGGGTTTCGTTTTAACGTGGTTTCTTGAACCAAGTCTTTTTCCTTTTTTCTTTCCCGAAACCGGATGGAGAAGGTATACCGCTAACAGGATAAAAGTAGCCACGGTACACAGCAGTGGTATGAAATAGCCACAACTGGCCTTTAGATGATATGCGATACATTGATATTCACAAGTGCAGTGCAGGTAAAGCAAACCCCTTTAAAGAGTTCAAGGAACCCATTCTACTTTCCCTCGCTCCTGACATGCACGTGGTTTAGAAGCCTACATTACGGTAACGAGCATTAGGTGGCATCGTCGGGGCCTGAAATATTCTTTCAGGCTCTAGCTATCGCTGTTGTCAGACTGCATTACTTCAATCAGTTTATTATAACGATAAAAACTATTCACAATTTCACGTATCGTTTGGGGAATTCCTCGGTTAAAATAAGCCAGTATCCCGCAAGGAGCTAAGTCTATTTAATTCTCTAAACGGAAATTTTTGACAAATTATTATTATTTAATAAAGCTTACCAGCGAATTTAATAAGATTGGGTAACATCCTTTTGAAAACCGCCTGTAATCTAATTTGTTTTTAAGTAAGAAGATTTTGATTATATTTTCTAGCTCGCTAAAAGAACGCTTTAAACTTTTCCAATAAGCTGATTCAATGTCCTGCTAAGTGCGTTGACATAAACGTAATTCGTAGTCACATTCTTCAAAAGCTCGGAAATCTGCGGTTAGACTGATCCTTCTTAAAATCAGTAGGATTAAAATTTAGAAGTTTCACTCCACAGTAAAGGTTGAAAAAACATCTCTGATTTTATGAGTAATGCAGTAACCATAGCTTGATATGCGCAATTTTGGTAACTTAAAAAATAACATCACGAGAAATAGAACACGTTTTCACGACAAAAAGGAAGCTATGATCAAACATCGACGCCATGTTCACACAAATAAAGCCTAGAAATCGCCTGTAATGGTATTTGGTTGACACAAAAACAAAAGCAGTCGTCTTTGTGGACAATTTATACGCACGATTTGTCCGCAGTTTTCGTGTTTAAGGTTTCATGTCAAATAGACTACAGAGTTAAGGTGGTTCCGTAGTATTTCATCACCTTTCCTCCAGAAGACACCTTGAAAGAATGCCTACGTCAAAAACAACAGCTTTATTCTTCGAAATAATTAAGGTGGGTATTAAAGAGATGAACGATACATTCAAAAGGAACTAGTTTTATCATCTTTGGTCAAAGCCGCATGATTAAAAGACAAATTCGCAGCTAGGGACGTGTAAGATAAGCCGTACTTAGCGGTGAACAATTTCGAGGATTAAACCTTTCTTGTTTGAGAACAGTGATGAAGAGCAAATTAATCCAATTAGCTGAAGAACGTGTTCCAGGTTTGTACTTCAACGAATCTCTCAAGATGTAACTCGCTTTTCTTATCACACGAAGTGTTAAGGGCACGTGACAACTTCAGAACAGAAAGCGAAAACCTATTCAGAAGATTTTCTTGATCTAAATCGTACAGAACGTTTTCGTGACAAGAATGAACTTCGATGAATGGTTTTCGCAGCATTTTCAATAACGACGGGGTTATTTCTTAAACCGCTATTAAAACATCTTCCACTGATGATAAGGTATGCGATTTTGCAATTAAGTACACAAACTTACACGCAAGGCTATAAAATTGCGTGACTTGAAACAATCGAGGATTTCCGAAACCATTTGAAAGCAGCAATGTCATTCAGCCATCTCGGAAGATTAGAGATTCCGGACTTAAATAAGATTAAAAATGAAATTGTAATGAATCACTTCGACGGTAAACACAAGCTTAGTCTGAACTTGTGTCTGAAAAGGCCGATTTTGTTTGAGTTGTAGAAAATCCCTCCTATAATATTTCAATGACATTTAAAAGCTTTGCGTAGCAACACAGCGCAGTTAATTTCGGATGTTTCCCTACACTAAATGGGTTTCCATTCGTTTTATCTTTCTTTTAAGTTTCTTTTCATTCATAAAAACAACTCTGGCTCATGTCATTCTTGGATTCGTCTTTAATTACATTTGGTCCACAGATGGCGTTTATTAGACCTGAAAATTTACAAAGGACCCGCAAACTTTTATCCTTCAAGTACATTTAACCTCATTAAATTACTTCAAGGAGTTGAAACAAAGAAAGGGGAAAAAAAAAAGGCGCACCATCGCTGCCAAAATAGTCCAGCTCACTAAATAATTGAAAGAAGTTTTTCCAAACAAGATAAAAATTTGGCAAGGCAGAAAAAAAATTCTTTTTTTCTAGTTTCAAATGCGTGCATATCAAAGGCCATCAATTGTTAGCTTGTAAGCTTTTTGTTAATTAGTGTTTGAGTGCAGTTTTCGAATGCCAATGTTCTAATATTCGCCTTGTATAAATAAAATTTATCTCGTCTTTGATTTAAGGCGGCGTAAAAAGAACGTAATCCTAAGTTTCGAATCCTTTCAATCAATTTTATACCAGTTAATCCAGCGAGATACGGTAAACATCTTTTATCATAATCTCGCCGCGCTGAGCGCACCACGACCTTGGTCAGAGGGTGTAATGATTTTGAAAGCTTGACACAGTTCTTTGCTAAGTAAGCAAACTTCAAAACTCATTATCCATGAGAATTTAATTCATATAAAAAGTGGATATACTTGTCACTCAGGAACCACATAACCGAACCGTGTTGGATGCAAGATGCTAAAGTCATCGATGTGGCTAAAATTAGCTTTAAGGCTTGTAAACAAAACAAAAATCTTGAGCTTAGAGCCCATGGTTTGTAAACCAAACAAACTCACTGCCTCAAAGCCGATGTCTTGATAACCAAACAGAACTCAAAATTATAAGATATCATGGCTAGATTTGCCAAAAACATGCAAAGAGTCCAAGCACATCGACGGAATTGTAATCTGAGTTGTGGTTTTTTCTAAAACAAGGAAAACCGGGCAAAGCAAATCCTTAATGCTGCGTGGAAGGCGACAGCTTTCGCTACTGAACAATCCCTGTTCATCTCGCATACTAATCAAGGCGAATAATGGCGAATTAGGGAAAATATTTCATAAGTGGCCATATCTATGTGGGATTGGCCTTATCTATGTAGGGTTATACTATATTTTAAGTCCTACCTCTTGTGCGGGTCTCGCAACAAGAAACTTGATAGTCGAGGTCGATTCGTAAACTAATGGTTCGATGTCACCAAGATTGGTCACTGAAACGTCATTTATCTGTGAAAACAAAGCAAAAACACTTTTCAAATAGAATCTTACGGAGCACTTTCCTTTAGAGCAGTATTCAATTGAGTCCAAATGCAGCGTAGTTAAGTGGGCGATCACATCTCATTTATACAAAAAAAAAATATGGCTGGTTATTTACACTTAATTTTCTGTCCATCTTTTATTTTGGTCCTTTAAAAATCTAAGTAGTAAAATATAGCGTATTATCGAAGACTGTCTTTGAACAATTTTTTCCCCGCGCGTACATCTCACTCGCGCGACGCGCGTGAAAACGAGCATACTCTACGTGTTATGCATTTGAAAGCCAGTTTGCGTGGGACAAACACAATTCATGGCACCGTATTGAAGTGGACACCATGATCTTGCTGATGAACTGCTTCAAACATTTTCTATTTCGACCAATTTTAATGGGCGCTATACCTTTAACACTGTATCGCACAATGTCAATCTACCATCAAAGTACGCAACAGACCCAGGTTCAATCTAAAAGAAGAAAATATTACATAAGTTATATTGGTTTCCCAACTCGAACGGTTCCATCGTATCTTGAAATGAGTCCGCCCCCTCCCCTCCCCTCCCCCCGAACACGTGAGAGACGCCTGACATTAGTACTCAGCAAGAAGGAACGAAGTCTCAACCAACCCAGGACAGAGGACAATTTGTTGTGTTACTGGTTGACACACATCACTTTCCCATTACTTGTGTATTTCAGCCAGGAGAATAAAAAGGTACTAGACGAAGGTCAGGGAAGCCTGAAATGCGGGAATGAGGTAGGGAACGGATTAAGGCATTGCGATGAACTGGCATTCCGTCCATGGGAGGGGGGAAACAATACTCCTTTTCGGTCCATGGCAGTGTAACCGATCTTAACATAAGCCCGCACCTTTAATTCGGAGGTGGGATGGGGGCTTTAGGTGGACTTTGAGTCCTGGAACATTCAAGACAAAAGTAACTTTGATCTTCAAACGCGCATAATTAATGTAAAGAGGGTCTCAATGCGTTAAACTGTCAGCCGTTGGGTGTACAAAATTACAAATTTTAACCATTCGTCGTAAGAGCTGTCACCCATCGAGACCCTCTGTAAAGGTGTAGGAAAAGAAATTTCGAAAGTGCATCTGACCAGTTTCTCTTTCAAACATTATACAAATCTGAGAAACAAGACGTAACTATATCCTACACCGACAAACTAGATCAGAGGTCCTGCTCTGTCAAGCTAATAAGATTTCTCCGTGGGTGGCTGCGCGAGCTCTTTTGTACTTTTTCAGGACTTAACAAGATTTGGGAGACCGCTAATTAACACATTATTAAATGCGCACACTAAAAAGGATAGTGTCTTGAAAAAGATCTCTTGTCTGGGTAAACACAGACAAGCAGACAGAAACCCTTTCTGAGAGATGTCCACCGTGGCGCCACATAATCGAGCGGTAAGTGGTAGTAAAGAACGTGATGATGCATTTTTGTTTTTTGGGCTTTTGTTTTGTACTGTTATTTTTTTTTTAACCAAGAAGGTAATCAGCAACGAATCAGGGATAGGTGAAAAACCTTCAACACCCTGTCTATATATTTGAATTATTTAACCGGCTTAAAACATGTGCACGAGCGCGTTCTTTACGTAGTTACAAGTAATGAACCGCTCCCCCCCCCCCCACTTAAGTCTTCCCTTATTCTCCTTCCCATCCAGGGGTAGTTGTCTTCACCATCCTTCTATAGGGTTAAAGTTTCACTTATCAACATTTTTCCTCAGAAAAACATATATGTTGTGCTCTGCGCATAAAGTTATGTAATATAGGGCTTTCGTTTTTCACCCGGGCATTGCATTATGCTTTCGAAAAATACTAAGGTCCGTCTAACTTCAATAATACACCGGGCGTCACACTGGGCACTTAATACTAAACACCTACATGTACCAATGTAAACGATGTATGTTGGTGAATCTAACTTACTTCGCACACATAGACTGTAGATTCGTCTTCTTCGGCACAACAGAATGTTAATCCTAAATCTCTGTTTGCTATCCACAGGGTTATTTCCTAAAGAAATAAATAAACTAAACTTCAACCTAACGATAGTTACATAGGGTCGAGAGTAACACGGAAGTGCATTCAAGGCTCTTTGTTTGGTCTTTAAACCAGGCGCCACTTTCTAACCAATCAGATTCACGTTTATTACTTGAAGCAATCGTGACTATCGCATTTTCCCGCGCTTAGAATCGGCTGGGCGCGGTTACTCCGAGTTCTTGTTAACCCCCTCTGTTATTCATCGATGTTTCTATTGGACGATGTGATTATTTTTTGTGTCTATTTTATCACTCCTTGAACTCTTCACAATTCCTCTACTTTTCGTTGCAAAACGCTCGATATTTTAGGAGGAATGGCTCATCTAGGCCAGCATAGTCAGACAGTCAGTCTGTAAGTCAATCAGTAAGAGTAAGTCAGACAGATAGACAGTCAGTCTCTCAGTCAGACAATCAGCCAGCCAGTAAGTAAGTCAGTGAGTCAGGCAGTCAGTCAGTTAAGTCGCAAGCCCAGTCGGGCAATCCAACCACCGGCTTTTAAGAATGAAATAACTTTACCTCGTACTCGTAATCAAACTCGGGATCGAAATAAATCTCGTCGGAAACCGCTGTCACATAAGGCTGAGCTTGCAGATCACAGTTTGAATTGTCATCAACGTCATGTACGTAATTTACATCCTTCACAAGTAGATTGACGCGGGGCAGTGTTCCCTGCTCGCTTCCAACAATGTTCTCAGAGCTCGGTAAGCTCTCGCTGGTCGAGCGGAAATTCTCTACATCCTCCCTACAAAATGACTCTATCCGACGGTGAGAACACTCCGAGCTACTTGTTCCGTCGTCCAGGGACTTCTCAAACGGAATAAGCAAGTCTTGTCTTGGGCTGTATCGATCGTGGATTCCGCTGTCCGTATCCACATTTTCCATGTCTTGAGAGAGAAAAAGTTCTGTTTGTGTTCCTGTTGAAGTTAGGCAAGGTACACAATCGACGATGGAGTCGATGCACTTTCGCTTCACTACAATATTCAGAGGTTCCGAAGCGGTTTTGATGACTTCTACAGCTGTAGCGTGACTGGCCTCTGTCAAATCGACCCCATTCACCTGAGATCAAAAAAAGAACGCCATGTCATTTTTGTCTCTCGAATTTCTCACTTCTTAGGGAAAGGAACAGAAGGACAGAAAGAACCCTGCAAGAAATTTTTTCGCGACTAACCACTACATCGTTATTTTCCATGACATTCGTTTTTGCTATGTCACGCAACGCTTTTCGAAAAGAGAGGCAGCTTTGCATGACATGCCAAAAGAAGGTTGATAGGAAGAATTCGAAATTAACATGCAAAGACAGTTCTGGAGTTCTAATCGCACTTGTGGCTACAAAAAAACACAATGGAATCCGCGTGGCTGTGAAATATAACTCTCACCAGTCTTCACTGAACTGATCTTCGGCTGTCATTGAAGATAACACTGCAAATAATAAGCTGTCACTTTATAGATAAATTACGCGAATGCACTGCGCTGCCATTCGCGTCCTTTTAGACACATCCGAGACTCCATGTGATGTCGAGAAGTAACACCACAAACCTGATGTATGTAATGGACTAGTCGACAATGTTTGCATGAAAACGATATCGACAAAGGGAATTTAATGATTCTTTTCGAGTGTTCATTTTCACTCCAGACTCATTAAAATGTCCATCAAAATTGTTTGCCTCATTGTTTAGGAAGAGCAGGTTGGATAAAATTACAAAAGGGAATAAATTGGGAACGTGTGTACAGTGTTCGAGAAAAAAATTTCCATTTGTACACTGTTGCCATTTCAATATTATCTTTACGCATCACACAGGTATCCTCAAAGTTTCCTTTGAAAATAAGTTTTTCTGTACTCTCCGGGAACTACTGGAAACCAAACCGTTTGGATGTTGTGCCATTGTATAGAAACGACGCTTCACTGAGGAGTGTAAAAAATTACCTTCTCATTATCAGTTCATCGCTGGGTAGAATTGTGATCAGAGTTAAGAAAAATAACAGCTTGGGTGTTTTGAATGATTTAAGACCGAGTTTCCAGCTGCAGTATTGAAGGAAATGAATGGCAGACAGGAATTAATTACGAGAAATAGAAAGTTTCAGACAATGGAAAGTTGTTCATTTGAGCGAAACACTGTCGCTAAATTTTAAGCCTGGTCGCTTTAGATTAGAAATTATTCCAGAAACGTGGGCTGGCTATCAAAATGGCTGTAAAGCGAATCGCTAGACGCACAGAGAAATTAAATATCAGCAATACGCTTAGCATGTTACAGTCATTTACAATCATTAATTCAAAACCACATCCTGGAAGTTCTACCCACAAAGTAGTCAAAATCCGCATACTTACTTCAAAGACGCACTCTCTATGTTAATGTGAAATTTTTGTACCGAATTATCATCGACTTTTCTGATACGGTCGATAGTCAATTTTGTCTCAGTTTCGTTATCACTTAGCGACTTTACAAAGCTGCGTTTTAACTTGCAAAATGTACGTTGAATAACATTTTCCCGCTATTTTCCCGCCAATAACTGAGAATCATTCATCGATCGACAGAGATAAAAGTAGAACCATCTCAATATGTCATTCGTATCAGGAAAGATAGCCGATGGTTTTGAAACGTAAAGAATGCACAACTGATAAAAACTTTCGGTTCAGTAGATAGGAAAAATATAAGAAATCGTTTTTAAACATTTAGACGATGCTCGCAACTTTGGTATGAGGCGCTATTCAAAGTTCAAACAAATTGTAATCTAGAGGAAAACGTTGCGAAACAGCTGTAAACATATGCCTTTTCTTGCCTTAAAAATACAGCGAGTCGGGGCGGGTTTACCCTGTTCGAACTGGAAATACGATATATTTCTGTTTACATAGGGATTGGAGTAAAATGTAGAGGTTTAGAAGACGCGTTGAGCGAACTGCTCATAATCGGAGTTTTAATCGGAGACTTAGAAAATTGGTGAATAATAACCATAAAACAAACGAAAAAATACAAAGTGATAGGAACACCTTGTCGAAGGCTTTGTCATGGCAACCGAGGTGAGGCATATTCATCTCAGAACAAAGTTCGATACACGAACTACAAATTTTGAAAACAAAACTTGAATTCCATCAGCTTCGGAGAAATCAACGAAAACCGCTTTAAAAATCCAATAAAACTGCTTAGAAATAGAAAATTTGACAAAAATTGACCCACAAAAATTGACTTTAAAATATTACTCCTTTCAAACACGTGATAACAAAATGGAGGTTTAAAAGCAACGAGTTATACAAAAAACGAAAAAAAGAACAAATATTAAAATAACAACGAAAAACTAAGTGGCCTCAATGTCTTCAAATATTCAAATATTGGAAAATTATATTGGGAAAACTAAGTAGTTTTCAGTTTTCTTAATGTACTGCTTAGTTCCAAATGGATTTGAAATTCGCTTACCAAAGAGGAACGGATGAATTAATATCAGGATTAATTTTTTATAGGACTCTTCACGGAATATTTGGCGATGTAAACTAGATCTTTACTGTGGCGTGACATTAAAACATTAATTTTGAGAGGAATATTTCCTTTTTTGTCCTCTAACAAGAGCGAAAAAGCGGAGGGAGTCGAGTTTATGTCAATATTTTGTCTTGTTATTAAGAAATTAGGATCTTTCACTAATGCACAGTTCCTAAGTTAATTACTATTTTTGCATATACAACAAACATATCATCTCTCAGAGAAAAAGGCGCTTCAATATAATAATTACAAACGCATGAGGAAACCTTTGCATGGCATAAAAACTATACTATACACTAATATAATCAAAGTGAAAACAAATGTGAAAAAAATGCTTGTTTTTTTTTTTTTTCAAAAATTTTGTCCATACATGTTTCACATATCTATGACAAAGGTTGCAAAATAACATAGACTTTCAGTGTTACTAATAAAAGCACATTGGGAAATAGTATTTGAATAAATCACAAATATATTTTCTTTACCACTGAAAGATCTGCCCAGGGCAAACTAATTCTCGGGCCTAAAATATCCTGAAGGAAATAATTTTTGCGACAAACATGGACTATGTTTAAATAAGGTGAAAAAGCATTTTGTCGAAAAAAAGGTTGTCATTTGGATAATGAAGCGAACATACAATGCATTCGTTCTACAAACATATTTTGCACAGTTGATAACCGAAATAGGAAAAATCCGTGAATTAGTTTTATTTTTCATCTACACCAAGTTTCTAACTTCAGATCGATTTAAAGAGATGGGTGGGACTATACGAAAGAGAAGTTTGACATTACATAATAACAAAAGCAAACGACAAGCTGCTTTCCATAGTCTCGTGTAGATTACACCTGCTCGACACACTTATAAATAATGCAAAATAATTCTGGTGTCCTTAAAATCCAATTTAGAACACTTAGTTTAAAATTTAACACCCTTTACCTTTTAAAATCCACCACTTTCGAAATGAATTTTGACCCCGAAATTATCGCAAAATTGGCACGCATTTCTTTAGTCGCCAGCTAACGACTTGCTCCATCGTAAAATTAACAGGTTTCTTTTGACAACCTAATCGCATGTCTGCCACTTTGCTCTAGGTTATTTGTTGATAGCAATTCCTTGAATAACCCATTCGGGTACATATCGCTTAGCATCATCGTTTGTATTGCTTCGCAAAGCAAAGTGATTCTCTTCACATTAAATAATGGCAGCTTTCATCGTTCCGAAATTACAGAGAAAGTGCAGCTATTATACACTAAAGAGTCATTTTTTATTTCTTTTAATTTCTCTGATGAATTCTTCTGCTGTCAAATTGTAGCAATAAAGTCTGCACTTTAGGTAATGAGTATTTTAAAACGCTTCTTTCTTTAAATGCCGATTTCACTTCATTTTCGAGCGGATTTAAATAACAGTTTTCCGAGTGCGTAATAAAGATCTCTAAAACTTTCAACATAAGGAGTTTAGTTGACATTTTTATTTGACTTCATCAAGTATATCCTTTCTGCTACATCGCATTTAATATCACTTAAAGATATTATATACCCAAATATCACGCGGTTTTCTTTTTATTTTAAAAAATTCTACATAATACGTAATTGGCTTTTCGCAAATGACAGGAAATTTCAGATGGGTTCTCGAACAAGCCCCCCTTAACAAGTGACCCCGTGTATTTTTCTGAATGGTGTTTTTCTATGTAGAAAAATCCCTTTAAAATTTCATTTTTCACGGAGCAATAAGCTTATGTTAAGAAAAAGGAAAGCCAATATCGTAACACAGTGGGTTATATTTTTTGTAAATGCACCGCTAACTATTAATCCAAGCCGACTTTAATCTTCAAAGCGAAATCACAAAAAAGCTATAAACAATCCACGCGATAGTATTTCGCCACAATGCAAGTAACAACAATACATTTGATAAACTTAAGGGATTAACGGTAAAACAGTGTGAAGCGATCTAAATTTCATAAAAAATTCACAACTTGATTCAATATGTTGCCAAAAAGAACCCGGGTGATATTCAAACTTACCTCAAAAACCTCCCATACAGTTGCCAATATAAAACAACCATTAATCTTCTGATGGCGGAAAATCTTTGATGACTCTCAATGATTGATTTCGAAGCAGTGCCAAAGAAGATGGCCTTTCGAGAATTTAACGCTTGCTCAAAACAAACAGAGCCATTAAATTACCGAAAAATCGGGAGTTTAAGAAAAATGACCGCATGTGGTAAACTTTTTGAGGAACAGTTTCGACCTCCTAAAAATAATTTGCGAAAAAGCAATACAAGGCAGGTTAACACTTGACAACTTTATAAACAGAACACTTTTGTCGCATTAAACGAGTTCATTCATGACCGTCAGAAAATGATGATATTCTTTGCAGCTGCGTTAGGAAAAAGCCTTCCATGAAAGATATAAAGGGAAATTTCGCCTTAAAAGTACCGAATGATAGCAAAGTACTTTATAATACACCAAGTTGTCCCTGTTTAACGTTGTAACACTTAACAGACGGATTAAAATATTTACTGTGTGTCTCTGTAATGCCTTGCATAACACGAGAAGGTTGGAGCTGTTGCAACGGATGTTCCCCTCAAAAGCATAGTTGAGCGTTGAAAGATTTTCAAAGTTTGATATTTCACCGCGAGAAATGATATGACAGGAATAACATTCCCGACTAAAATCGCCTTAATTGATTCCAGTTAGACTACAGTTCCCACCAATTCAGAAGTGGTCAAAGTACGCTGTTGTCTTTAATTGATTTCTGCGAATATATATTCTTTTCGTCGCAGGAAAGATAGCCGAATTCAAGGAGTGGCAACGAGTTTGAGCCTAGTTTAGTTACAAGCGTGCTTTAGATTCCATTGCCGGAAAACGCATTGATTCACTTGCGATTCCGTGAAATTTAAGCTGAGAAAGTCCACTCGTTTTTTCTGAGGAATAACAGACATGCTTTACAATTGAAAGGTATGGGCAAACTATTCGGCCGCGATCCTGCAACGCGTTAACGCACTAAGGTCCCTCAGTGCCATGAAATTAGTCCTTTACAGTTGTTTTTTTTACCTTTAAAGCGGCAGTAAATGACAATCAAAAGAAATCTGGAGTTAAATCCGTAAACTTATACTGTATTTCTTCACAACTGTGCCTCGAAGGCAGTTTTCCGAGACAAAAACCGGTGATATAAATTAAAGATTACTTCTATTTTTTCCACCCATAAATCGACAAACTCAAGTCTCGCCTATGGCTGCGAAAGCGGTTTATCTCCTATTGTTATCGATCTTCAACTAATATCTGGAAACCCAAAATATACTTTTTATATTGTTCAACTGACAGATCAATTTCCGATAAACGCCTTTTGAAAAGCACAGCGAGAGCCTCGACTCTTCCCACACAATGGGTCCTTGCTTTTGTCTTATTTATTTGGTCGGAGCAGGTGGTCAAAAAACACACAGAACCAAATTGGAATCTTTGCTTTTCTTATCGCAGCCAGAGAGAGGGACTCCATAAGACCCTCGCGTGACAGCGAAGTGGGTTCCCACTGAGACCAAGAGATTGACAATTCACATGGGGCCCGCATAGCGAAGACATCTATTTTCCAACTGTGGTAAATGCACTTTGGTAGACAAATGCGACTATGATTTGCTGCGAAAGCGTGTGAATTATACATTAACCACGCGGTGGGGACTATTGAAATACAACAGAGCGAAAAATAAACAGTAAAGTGGCTTTTCGAGTTCCTCAATTCGATTCCTTGCGAAATAATATGGTAATCTTTGAAAACTATTTAAATGTCGTGAGCTGGAGGTTTCGAGTTCGCTGACAAAAAACCGCTTAAGACGGGAAATCCAATTCGTTTACGATGAGGTGGAAAGAATAAGAGCTAAAGTTAAAAGCCACATTTGTTTACAACGGGAAATAAAGAAAGTAAGAGTGCCTGTTCTTCCCTAGCGGAAGCAGATGGATTGTTAGTTACTTCATTAATCCGAGAGTTGACAGTCGGAAATCTACAAATACGCTGAGCTAAATTACCATCAATTCTCAGTAAATAAATCCATTGCAAAGAACTCTGCAGCGATGTTTAGCCATACAGAAGAACAACAGATCACTGTTATAAGTTTACAAAGTAGGTTATCGAGACAATGAGGAGATTTAATAACATAGCGCGGCTCGGAACGAGAAAGTATTTGATATGATTGAAAAATCAACACGACGCACGTCATGCAATCAGTCATGAAAAAAAAAAAGCCCTCTCAAAGTGCACGCGCGAGGGAGATTTTAATGAAAGGAGGCGGGTAGCAAAGAATCTCACATTTTTACCTTGAGGATTACGTCGTAAATTTTCAGGCCGTCTTCCTTCGATGCTGGCCCGCCGTCTGCGACCTTCGAAACCACAATTCCCCCACCAACTGAATTGTTTCCGACCTGATAATGAGGATAAAAGAAAATTCTATAGCTCACGTCTAATCCTAAACAAAGCCTCGTAGTCCACTACGAGGAATGCACGGTAACAGAATCCGAACTTTCCGCGCGTTTGAAACAATGCAGGAGGAAATCGCGCGCGGGTTTCTACAGCATAGTCAATGTAAATTTCAAATAGACAAAAGTGGGGTTATTTATTTCACAACAACGGCTTCCAGCCGCGTTTACGAGTACATTCTTTCAAAGACTACACAAAACAAAACAAAGAGCAGTTCAAAAGAAATGGTCTTTCCTAAGGGATTCTATCTATCACTCGGCTGCTACCACAAACGGGGGTTCTTGATTCAACTGCGCTTAACGTGATAACGAAATTATACGACTTTGATAAGGTTTTAGTTGGGCGCTAATCTTTTTACGCACTCGCACCACATGTCTAGGCGATGAGGGTTGCTCACCATGATAAAGTGCAAGGAGTCGCAAAGAAAACAACGGTAAATTAATAGAATATGAAGCGCGGTCTTCAAATGTTAAGAAACTGTCGCGCGTCGCTCACTAATTTCGAACGCAAAATATGATTTGTTTGCGCGACAGAGACGGAATTCTCAAACAAGTGACAATTTAGAGCATTACGCCTGTCTAAAATAACTAATGTTGTATACCTCTATGCCTCCCATGATATTGAACCCGAGCGAGCCACCGTTCCCGCGGACGAGAGATATTTCGACCTCGATCTCATCGGCGGTCTATAAAGGCAAACACAACTCAGCCTCACTGATATTTGTAATCAAAAGCATATAAAAATCGCATAATATTCGCTCGTGTCTGGTTACTTATAACTCAATAATGAGTCGCTCACCGTGGCAAGAAAAACAGTCTGGTGTCGGAGTAACGGCTTGATTCGAGAGTAACATCTTTCACAGTTCTGAGCGCAAGGTATTGTCCGATTAGTGCCCTGCGTCAACTTTCAGGTCAAACTTTGAATATTTTTGGATCGCGCGCTCCGGCTATTAAAATTGACAACGCAAAGAAGCGTGTTCGTGTCAAGAGTCTACGTTCTCCCGAGTGTATCGTTTGAGCCGATGTAGCTCCAACAGCGCACACTAATTGATCAAAACGATCTGGGTATTGATCTGGTAGAGTCACTGCACGTTCAAAAACATACAAGCCATTCTGCGGTTTGTACCTCAAATCAAACATTTCACTGCGTATAACTAGTGCGCGCTCAATTGGAAAATCTTAATCAAACATTGGCCCGATTGGGCTAATTTTAACGTACCTGGTCACCGCGCACATCAGCCTGCTTCTGAAAAAAACCCACTTGTAAACGGTACTCTTTTAATTGCCTTTCGAAATTAAGCACCTGAACTTGGTAGCTATGAAGTTCATTTTCCAGATTTAAAATTCTATCTTGGTTGGCCTCTTCTCTTCTCGCTATCCTCTCGCAGGCCAATTCCTTATCTTGCTCCGCCCTTGTCAGTTTCATTTGAAGCGAAGCGACTTGCGTTTGAAGGGCCTTTATGCAGTCATGTGTGGTAGAGTCTTGGTATAGCAATGGTAGACCACAGCCATTCTCGCAGACAACAACTCGAGCGAATTCGCGAGTTTCCGGAGAGTTCGCATCGCGTTCCATAATTTTCCCTCCGGAAGTGTTTCTATTAAAGTAGTGGCATTTTAAAAGATGAGACTGAATATTTTCTACGTGTAAAATGGCCGGGCAGCCTCGGCGAAAATTCTCACAACGAATATTTTGCTTAGCGATAAGACTGCTGAGCGGCAGAATCTTCTTCAAATCATCGACAGAAATCTGTTCGCATGTGAGTGGACATGATCCGCTCTCGGCTGCCCATTGAATAATACACTGGGCACAAAATACGTGGCCACATGGGGTTGCTAAGGGCTCCTCTAGAACACCGAAACATATCCCACACTTCAAATCATCGTCAACTGGTTCCAAAAACCTGTCCACGTCGAACCCCATGCTCGTCCCACCGAGCATAAAAAGAAACACTGAAAATGCCTGATAAATGATACGCTTCGTTCTTTTGAACTTTGCGACAAAATACAAAGGCGGGGCTAGGAAACTAGATCACGTCAATGACGGTTGCTGTCAAATGGACTGGCGTGCGCTGATTGGGTAACGGCTCATTGCACATGTTATTTTCCGGCGAACAGGACCGCTCTCTTGTGTATGGCGCGAAATCAAAACATAGATTTTCATGTCACGAGAATTCGGAAGTCACGGGGAAAAAAAATTAACAATTTTTGGGACACCGATGCATGTTATGATAAAAAAAAATCTGTGATTTCACTTACACAAAAAAAGAATCGTGCAATTATTTTCATTATTTCCACGTGTTCCCAAGAGAGTTTTGAATCTTTAAACACCAGTTAGCTATTGTTATGTTGATTAGTGGGTGAATTATGAATTTTTTTTATCGTGGCTGTCAACTTCTCGGAGCGGTTTGAAATATACAGGTAATTTACTTCCTGCAAACTTGCACTGAAAATCAAAACAAATTTCGAAGCGAATTTCTCTAGGGGAATAATCACGATTTATCAGGCTTTATGAGCGGAGGGATTTTCTTTCTCGTCCAGCTGCCAATTTCTGGTCCACGAAGTCGTACAGTTTTTGGCCATTCCGCAGAAAAAAAATATGACGCTTTTGTTGACGCATAGCCTTGTACTTTATTAACACACGCGCCGTTTCCTTTGAAGCTCCACTGTAACTTTGTGAAAGTGAAGGCGAAAGTGATAATTGCAAATATTGATGTAAACCGCTGGACTTCACTCAAGCACGTACATACGCCATATAAAAAGCTTGAAAGTTCGCACTTGCACATTTGATGAGAATCAGGCAACGATCTTAGACCTTTTTCTTTTAGACAGTCGCAAATGGGAGACCAGAACATAAAAAGTAAATGTGATTAAAAAAGAAGAGCAGTGAATAACACCATTTGGAGAGACAAAAGTCCTATTTATTGGAAAACATTTCTGAATAGCTTAATTTACCTTGTGTTTGGTTAATACAGCTCAATAATCACTTCTTCAGCTAGTTTAGATTCATAAAGAACTCGCCGACACAATTAGACAAGTTACCGATCTTTTCAATCAGTTTAGTAGTCATTTCACAGCACCAATTGTTGATTTTTTTCCTCCGAAAGCAGCTGATTCCTCCGTGTCGAGGCGGGATTGTGAAGCGACTCTGGTATTATTCTCTGTTTAACATTTCTGATGCGACTAAAATCACTTACGGTGCACGTTCACTAAGCGCTTATGTACCGCTTTCTATTTATTTTCGTGCAGGGATATTTTATAAGCGGCACATGGTCAATTTCGTTTGATGTTCAATGAAGAACAATGATTTCTTTTACGCTCGTTCAAAAGGGGACGATCGCCTAAGCTCGGCATTTGTTTTGCCCAAACGCATCGATTCAATAGCACCAATTACCTTTAAAGCTAGAGAAAAGATTGGAGGCGCTTTTTCGCTTCGGGCACAAGTCAGTATTGGTTCGTTCGGTAAATAAACAAGGGCCATATTCAACGACAAGGCGATAATTTATGCTCAGCGGAAAGTATCTTTAAGACCGCGACAGTTCAACTCTTATTGCCCTTCATTGAAATAAAACATGAAAACAACTGTATCTATCAAAGACTAGCAATCAAAAGAGAAAAAATTCAACCAAAGGCCAATTATATTTGATTGTTGACAATAAAAAAATTCAGAGAAAAACTAACTGTGTAGCTAGTATCGATCTCCAGAAGCAAATTTATGTGCTGTAATTAGCGATGGTTAGCCAGCCAGAAAGAGTTGCTTTAGACACTAGCATTTGCTCGCCTTTTCTAATCCCATGGATTGGAATAATTCTACAATCAACCGAAAATGGAAGAGCTTGTTTTGAATCACGCAAGTGATCCGGAAACAAGGGTCGAGACTTTTGAGTTTGGACTTGGTTTAAATCCGCGTGTGGAATCCGCCCAATTTTTGACAATTGCCACACAAAAAATAGCGTGCACCACAGACAAGTTTGAGGGTATAAACGCTTTAGCATTAATGCCAAAATCTTCTTGCAAAATTATCATAGATAGATAACAACACTAGGGACGAAATGAGGTAACATGAATAGTTTATTTACCTGAGAGGGAAATACTTCATTGGATAGATTGTTCAGACATATTTGGTGCGAATCTCAAAATTGACCATGCCGACGAAACTCGAAAAACTTTCGGAAAGCCTTTCATGGGAGTCACCGGAAAGCAAAAAATATCATGAATAAAAAAAATACGGAATTAATGCGAGTTACAATTCTAAGGTGGCAAGCGCTTGCAACGAAAGTTTCAATTCCCCAAACTTGGGTTGACTGGGAATCACGCGATGTGTTTATTCGAGACAGAAATGAAGCTCTGATTTGAGGGCGTGATTTGCACCTATTGTGGTTCGAATGTAGCTACGCAGTCGATAAAAGGCTTTGTAGCCCACATAACAATCCCCTTAGCCAAGACGGATTATAATTTGGTAATAATGGTGCTTTTAGAAAGAAACCCAGATATTAAACATTGTGTAGTTTAAGTTACCGTGACGGCGAACGAATGGTTTTATGTCACTGAAATGGCTTTACTACCATAAACATGCATCTGCAAAGAACGAACTGATCTATTACAGGCTCTTTCTCTGATGGCGATCCTTGCTCGTGATATTGTATCTCGTTGTGTGGATCATAGCATGAAATTGTTGTTTTCCAAACTAATTATCAAATCCGTCTTCTATGGCCTAATCGCACATCTGTGTAATTAAGCAACTCTTCGTTCTCAACTCGGGAATTTCCCGTGTTTCGTTAAGGACTCACACTGTCCGAGCACGTTTTCTGAATGATGCTTATCTCCAATAAAATATGTAATACGTCAACGCATACAAAGAAAATAAGCTTCTTGATTCAAAGCCAAAACCATTTGGCCTGACCTTCAGCCATTACGCAGGCATTTTGACGAAAGGAAAACCCTTAAAACTACAATAGAGATATTTAACCCGCAAACTTGAGAGAAATAAAACACGCGATGGAATTAGAGTTTCGCTTTGTAGGGGGCCTGATGGATAGTCAGACTTCTGATAAAGGAGTAAGTGTTGAAATCGATTTCGTCATCTCCCAGAGGAAAGGGTACATTTGATAAGCCCTGCTTGCCAAGGAAAAGACGAAATATAAATAGGGAGTGAACATTTTTCCGCGTTCTCCACTATCTTTTGCTTTTGTCTCCGCTATCTTCGCGTAGAGAAATGGTATCTTCGGTTTAAAGGTCACGAAATGAGCTATCTTTTAACGACAACAAAATTTGCGCCTCAATCGCCCCAAACTAGATTTTCTCTCATTCTAGTTACAGACTCAAACCCCCCAGTGTCCCGGAGCAATTAGTAACGTTTCAAGACAAAAACTGCCGCTTATTTCTTTCTTATCAACGACTTGACTCTGCAAGAGGCTAGACGGTCAAGAAACGTCGTTGTGCAGACATGGACAGACAAATTTATGTTTGCCGCTAACGGAATTCAAAAGAAAGGCGGCTTATTATCAAGTTATCAACTTCACTTGCCCACAGTTAATAACCGAAAATGTTTTCGTTCTTCGTTGCTATAGCAATTCTCTGGCGAAGAAACAATCAGATGGAACATTCTGACCGATCGATCGTTCTGCGGTCGAAAATTAAAATTGGTTGAAATCCAATGATCTGTCTTGTATTATAAAATTCAACCACATTCCGGATAATTTCAAAGAACACTGTTTCCTAATAGCATTTTTTTTTCCTTCCACCACCCACGCCTGAGACAGTTGTTTTGAATTTTATCAACTTATGGTCGTTCGCCTTTTGAATGAAAGAGAATTCTCAGAGTTGAAAATGAATATTTTGCAAGGCTTTCAAGCTGAGCTGTCTTTGAAACAAGACATTTGAAAGATCACAGGCACCGAAAAAAGACAACAGAGGGTTTATTAGTTTATTAGCTTATCTTTCCATCAGTCTGTCTTTATAACCGACAAATTTCCTGATTGCTAATGGCTGAGAAAAGAAAAAAAACTTGTGTAATGAAACGGGAATACAAATTGGCATGAACTGTTTGATCAGGCGAGCCGGAATTTATTTTTTACATTAGCAGACGAAAGGATTAGCCTAGTTTAGCACCATGTTAAGCGATGCGACCCGAAAGAGTGTTTGCTTAAGATCAAAACCACTTCTTTTTCATTGAACGGAAATGGGGAGTAAACAAACCGAAATTTTAACAATAGCATCGGCCGCGGAATAACATTAAGCCGCCAACAAGCGGGGCAAAGCTTTCCGAAGCGAAACATTGTTGCCTATTTTCTTAAAAGCCAAGCAGATGCGAGTTTCCATGGATAACTGTGTTAATTAATTCTTCACATGGTAATTGGCGAATTCACACTTCTCTGGTTAGAAAGAGCACCGCGGGCACGGTTTTCTTATTAGGCAAAACTGCGGCAACGACGAAGAAATAAGCCCTCCAATCAATGGGCGTAGTCCATACCACTTGCCATAGGCAAAATTAGCATACCAAAAGGAGATGACAGTTTCATTAATCAAGAAAACACTATTTTTTTTCTGTTTTAAGAAGGGCTTCACAAAATCACAGAGCTCGCCCACATGACAGAACTTTTAACCTCAAACTCCGGGATGTTTTAATTATGATACAAACTATTCATCGTGGAGGGCAGATAAGAAGAAACCAATAGAACCTTTAACCTTCCCGTAAAGTGTAAACAACTTCGCCTGAGGTAGTTCATTTAAAACAAAAGGCTTCAAGACATCAGGAATAACAAAACTGAACAATTCACTTGGCGGCAAGAGAAAGAATTCGACATTTAGCCATTTTATTCCGCGGGAGAGCGGAATTTCTTCACAAAAGCGACACGATACAGTTTTTTCTACGATGAAACTTCATTTTTCCCTTGCGTTTTGAAATGTTTAATGTTGCCGCATGTAGACCGATGTTTCAAATACAATACAGTGATCACTGTAAAAGTAAAAGTAATTATTTCGGCAAACACTAGCGATGTAATTAGCGACTTTTAACTTAAGGCAAGCCGATACTTGTTTTAGGATAGTGATATCAAAGAAGCAAGTAAAATCAAATCGACATGCATTTTTTATTTTATTCACACGTTCCATCAGCAAAAAATGTACATAAGAAGTAATTCTCTTTAAAGAAATTGCTTTGAAACGAAAAAAATGTACATAAGAAGTAATTTCTACTTTTTAGAAATTGCTTCGAGGTAAAAAAAATGTACATAAGAAGTAATTTCTCTTTTTAGAAATTGCTTTGAAACCAAACACACTGGAAGTAAAATAAATAACTCATCGGACACCTTCGCAAAAGATCAAATGGAGTCTTGCTATTGTCTATGCTCGGGTGTTTTGATTTCATTACGTACTGAAAGTTCAATTTAGAATTGGCTACAACAAATCTTAAGCTAAACAAGCTAGGAAATTTGTTATCGGCGTGTATATTTTTAGGCATTTTCAAAGCGCTCACATGTAAACTAAGAATGTTTATTCGGAGAACTCACCTCCACTTTCGCCGTAGTTAAAACCTTAGCTAAAATACGAATTTTTTTTTTCCTTTCCAAGCAAATGAGTGTAACAACAGTAGTAATAAATTATATTCCATTTGCAATTTGAAACTTTGAGATATCTAATTAAAATTTCACGGTACGAAAATACTGCAATCATGTCGAGCTTTGATAAAAATATTTTTCCCAGCTGGTCTAAAAAGCTTACAAGCGGTTTGTAAGAAAAACCTGCTTCTAAAATTCATTTTAAAAAAGGTTGAGAAATCTGCGCTAAATATAGGTAAGAACATATGTACAATATTAAAGGTTTTACAAACCAGATAAAAAAGAGGAGCAAACTAAATTGCTTCTCAAGAAAAAAAAAAGGATTTTTTTAATCTTGGGTAAAGCATGTCGGATTTACGAAATGAATGTTCACTTACGGCTAGTAAAACAAACCATTTTCGAGGTAAGTTTTGAAATCTTAAATACAAAAGGCTTATCACTCTGGCTAAACAAAAGCTTGTTGAATTCAAGAGTACCAAACTTTTGTTACGTTCTGCATGTGTTTTGTCTAGTTGTCGAACCCTGTAAGAAAGAAGCAAAAATAAATAAATAAATAAATGAACAAAACTGAGAATATAGAAAAAAAAATTTTGTCATGACGACTGGTTCTAGATTGGGACAGTAAAAAATAGGAACACACTCTGAAAATATTACTTAAACTTATATTAATCATGACGAAAAAGTCGAAAAATATAAAATAGAACATATCACTACAAATAAACGTTTTTACTCAAGTTTCTGTGTAACCTACACGTGTTCAATATGAGCATTTTTTAAAAATTTAATATGGGCATTTTTTTCTGCACTGCACTTCGAAGCATGCTTCCTCTTCTTTATAATAATTAATTTAGCGAAACTCTCTTAGGTTATCATATTGTTGGGTGGAAAACTATGCGTTTAACACTTAAAAATTTTCGAGCTTTGCCTCTAGACTCAACTTTCAGTTCATGTTGACACAAAACAAGTTAGCGTCCTTTCAGCCACAAATACCGCAAGCCGTTTTCCCGGATGTATAAGTTCTCTAATTTTAGCTTACAAGAAGCTGTACGACCCAGGAGTAAAAAAATAGAAAGGTGAAGAGATCGACAATACGTGGAGGTTTGAGTCCACCACAACAATAACCGAAAACAACGTAGGCGTTAGGGGTGAAGGGCCTAGGGGAGGGGAGGGGGGATCAAATTGCTCAGATACTTTGCTCAAATAGCATGAAATCACCGAACGATATCTTTAATGAGTTGGTCGAGGGCATATTTGAAAATTTATGTCTAGTTACTTGTGCAAGAGTGGACATGTTCCTTTGTAAATGATAGTCCATTACCATGACAAGAACAATTTAGAAATTTTTGGAATGGAGGCATAAAAAACTTCACTAAAGTACCGCCATAGAGGAATTTACTTGAGATAAATAAGCACTTGTGTTAATGGCAAGTTTCAATAAACGAGCAGACGAATAATATCACAAACGACCAAGTTATCCTTCAAAATTGATTTACGACAAGGGAAACAAGGTCCAGATTTAGCCATGGCAAACACGTGCATGTTAACAATTAAAGGAAACTTGACATAGAGCTGCAAACTAAGAAGATTACAAGGTATTTCAAAGACTCTAATACACACGGGATGTATAATAAATTCACGTATGATTAATAACAGAGATGAAAACCAAGCACAAAGCGATGAAACGCAGAAGGGAATTTCATACAGGAAGTCGGCTTAATATCTAGAAAATTCGCGAATCTAGTAAGTCTAACTTTGTACAAGAATTAGCGCGCTCGAGACACGAGATATAAAACGCGCGTGCAAGAGATTTCTGAAGAGGGAATATCACGTTTGCAAGTGTTTGCTAGGCACTCGCTGATATTTGTTTATTTGATGTCAGAGTTATCATTACTCAAGCTGATTTACATCACAACACGTACGAACTGATCTAAATTGCTAGCGGGAAGTTTGACTTTCAATTCCCGAATGATTACTATAGCTAGTACCAAAATAGAAGAGAAAAGATGAGACAAAAAGGAAATTCCAAAGAGGAGGAGGTAGAAGCTAACGTACCAGCTTGAATTGGAAGCAAATCACTGCGCTCACAACACGAGATGTAGAACAAAAATGGAAGGGATTTTGAGAGAGAGGAAATATTAAATTTGTGCGTATTTGCAAAGCTCTGGCTTATATTAGCTAATTCGCTATCCAAAAGAGTCTTCCGTCACGTAGATTCATATCACAACACGTATACATTGGTAAAAATTTAAAAGGAAGCTTAGGGAAGGAAATATTTATATCTAAGAAAGGTTTAAGGAAGCCTCTATAACCTTTTTACAAAACAAAACCTCACGTTTTGGAGCATTGTTCAAAATTCAGGGACTTTCTAGCAAAGGAAGTTGGAAGATGAATTCAAATACAGAAGATTATTAAACTGGAATACAACAGGAGAGCCCTAGAACTTTATTTTAGTTTTAGAAAATAAAAAAAAGGAAATCTTAAGAAAAGTGGCAACAAAGCTTTTAAAAACTTTCCCGTCTTGAATTTACGAGAAATTTTAAAAAGGGAATAAAATAGTTTAACGGGGGAAGGGAAAGGAAGTTGTACTTAGCCTGAAACTGATACAGCACGTGGACATAAATGACGAGTCTCAATATTGTATATATAGCATCGAAGAAAATACTAAATAAACTCCATCAGTGGGTCACTAAATCTTCCATCAGAAAGAAGCCGACAGTTAAGGGAAGGATGAGTGAAGTCCCTTCCTTTAATCCAACATATTTTCAAATTTAGGCACAGGGTTACTATTACCTTTAAACACGGGCAAGAGATAACAAACTGGCGTTATAATTTCTCGACGTGGGGGAGGAAATTAAACTATTTCAAGCAGTACACCTTGAATTTTCAGTTTCTCCTTTTTTTCTTTTTGTGAAAGGAAAGGGAGATCGCTGGCTGGTAATTCAAGTTGGTTTTGGCAAGGGCAGTAGAGTTTATTCTCTTAATCTTAAATCTTAAAAGGGAGAGAGGAGAGAAGGACAGACGAGGAAGCACTTTGGTATTACTGTCGTCTATCTGGCACTGATCGGTTAACTATTGGCTTCGATAAAAAGTTTCCATTCAATTAACAATTTTCTATGTTTTCACACTGTTTTCTTTCTTCCTACTCGACCCGTCCAAACATAATAACATTCTCAAACAAAACATAACAAAACAAGAGGAAACAAGCCAAAACAAAAAACTAGAACAGCTGAAATAAAAAACTTGAACCTTGATTTTGCCAAGGCCTACGCACAAAGCAATAGAGCCAGTTTTTGGTCAACGCAAATCAAATGTGAAAGCTTCAAACCAAACCGTTTGAGCGGACTGTCCGCTTAGAAGTAGAACAGAGCGAAAACAAAGACATTTCGCTCAGTCAAGCGAGAGTTCGTGGTTTCGTCTACGGTTTGAAACGCATAGTTGATCATACAACCCCCCTGAAAGTCCACTGACCCGTAGCTTTTATCATCCATTATCGTGTAAGCTCTAATTTTCAATCCCACCGCTGCTTAACGATGCAGAAAGACCTCAAATAGGATGAAAAATAACTCGCCAGTAATCGATAAGAATAGAAAAATACCCACCAGATAATTCCTTAGACTTGGGAATCTTGAAACCTGCCAAGAATACAAAGAAAAGTCGTTAATCCAGTTGTTGTGGAGCAGACAAAGTGTCGGGACAATGAAAACTGACAAAGCTGGCAAACCTGCTTCTATTCAATAATAGTTTTGTCCCTAACAGGGCGCACAAGAGCTTTTTGTCCACGATTGAATTAGGCACTGCGGGAACACAACTTACAAGTTTACAACTTCAACAGAATAATCTAGAGGCTACAAGATTTGTGATCAAATTCCCACTGAGGCAAAACTATGCACTGCCTGTGATTAATGCAGCGTTTGTTCGTAGAAAAACCGATTTTGCAATTAAAGTGCAAGCAAAGAACTATTTCTAAGACAATTTCTTAAACTTAACAACTAATAAACTAGTGATGGGAAGGGAATGTGAAAAAAGTCTATTAAACTCATTAGCGCGAATATTAAAACAAATCCTTGTTTATCATTTGGCAGCTGTTGTGATCCGTATTGTTCAACCATTATTATATGTAATGAGAGAGAAAACCGCTGGGTTTCGCAGCAGGAAAGAAGTGCGTAAAGCTCCCTTACTAAGACCTCGAACAAAAAAATCAAAGACCTAATCTGTGCAGTAGGTCGCCACAGGATGCCCTGACCACGGGAAAGCAAACACTTCTTTTGTCTCGTTAACGTTGGTCGTTATCACAAAACATATGTGTTAATTTGGGTTAATTAAGCGGTACTTTTTATTTTTAGCCTTTTGGCGAGATTCGGGTGTACAAAACCAGTAAATGTAATTACATATTGTACACAAAAACAACAACGCAACAGGGTGCTAAAAACGTTCTATGATATAGACCCCTACGAAGCAAGACCCAAGCGAGGTTCACAAAATCAAAGCAATACTACAGCTAAATATGCCCCAGGAAAAATGGCTCGTCTAAACAAACTGTCCTTTATACGTACTTTAAAAATCGTTACGAAGAGTTTACACAGCCCCAAGTGTTCCCAGAGCAACTTTCTTGCTGCAAAATCACGAACCTCATTCGAATCTTTTTCTTATTAGAGAGCTTCGCGCAAAGCTCAAGTTATATGCTGAAGCAATTTACATTGAAGAGTAATAAACAAAAACAAAAAGTATAATATCAAAAAAAAAATTGACCACGAAATTAGTTTAAAATTCATTTCTCCGAATAAAAGAGACTTAAAAAATATCAACAAACAGAATTTGGAAGCCACGTTCTCGTATCTTGTCAACGCAATAGGCAATAACTACCATGTGAGTATTTTTCACTAGCTTTCCCATATCGGGACGTCATCGACGAACTCAAAGCGAACAAAACCTTCCACATTAACATGGATTAAAGGCAAATGAAAATGCTGTTCGGTAACTTTCATTGGAATCTTCACACGCCAAGCTTTTAGCAAGAGGTTTGAATGCTAGAACCATCCTGCTCAGTTAAAAAAAATAATACTGTGTGGAAGTGCGGGTCACTAGCTCAAAATGCAGTCTGAAATCGAGTTATATTCACAAAAGGAACACCTAATACAGCATACAAATTAAATTGAGTAAACAAGTTGGACTATAGCTTCTACTTCATTTGCTACAAGCCAGTTTTTCTCCACAGAAAGTGGGAAGAGTAGAAACCACATTGAACAACATGCGACACGAAAGATCTGCTCAAGTCGGCTGTCAAAGATTTAGAGAGAACATCAGTTTGCTTGAAAAATCTCGTGTCTTTCGGTGGAATACAGATGAGAAAGAACAGAAAGGCCCGGATACGATCTCCGTGACAAATTCGGCGAGTACTGATAAACGTGACGTGAAAGATTAATGCCAACATCAGCTTAGAAAAAAATATGCACGTACAAGATTTTTTAACCCGTAGGAGGTTCCGTCTGCCAGAAGTTCGTATTTTGTTCCAATCACGAACATTTAACAATAGACAACTCGAAAACACAACAAATTTCTATCAAACACACGTTCAACATCTGTCTTTCTACGACAACTCAGCTAGAATTTATTATCTTTCCCGTTCTTAGTGCACACAACACTTATTTTTCTACATTTCTGATTCCACAGGCATGCAGAACGAGTTTCAGAAACAAAATTACGACATAGTCTTGGATGCCAATTGACAAGTCCTCTAAAACCACCTTATTGCGCATCTCACGAGCAAAATAGAACTACCTGGGGTTGGAATCTTCACGGGATACCAAGATTTTTCCTTTTCCCATTCTCGTGACAAATGTCTTTAAATCTTCTTATACACAACAAAGGGTGTTGTCGTTCCTCTAACAAAAAAGTCACTCACCGAAGGTTATAGCTGACGAAAAAACTCCACAAGAGATCTCTTGAACAACAGTCTCTCAGCAATTTGTAAACATGCGTTACCTCAATCAGAGATTTCCGGTTTTGGATAGTTTAAATACTTCGTTATTACCTCGAAAAGTTCTCGTGAATCACTTTTGTCCCTCTCATAAGGATAAAAAAATTTAAACTTTAAAAAATCGATTCAGTTTTTGAAGTGTTCAAAAACATACAGAACCACGTGAGAGCACCGTTCAATAGCTTTCATTAAAATAGGCATGCACCATGGATTCACAAACGGTCTTTCAGTGTAGAGTCACCATACAGAGCAACATAAACAGAACCTTGTCAAATCTCTCATGAATATATTTTCTTGAAATAATCACAGCCATGAATTTTTTTCAACAAACTGAAGAGTTGAATCCACTATTTAAAGCAGATCGAACGCTGCTTCATGAAAGAACTGCTTCCACGCTTTTATCTGATGATCATCAAGTTTATCAACAAACTAAAAGCCGAAAACACCTTGCACAGTTGAAGGAAAGAAACCTTATGAAGGTGCTGTTCAGCAGCTTTTATTTAAAACCTTGTACACTTAGATTTCATCAACAGACTTAAAAGCTAAAGCAACGCTTAAGCTAGCAACGCCTTATGCAGGATGAAAAACAGAACCCCACGAACGCGTTGCAAGCAAGCATTCATTTAAATGATTAAACAGTTAGGTTGTATCAACGAAAAAAACACTGCACAGTTTGATACACGATCAGAAGACATCCAACTGAATATTAGCAAGCTCTAGCTTCGAAAAGCCACAGTGGGCAGCAATGCAAGCTGCACATCTAAACGATACTTCAACAACTGTCATTTGAATGGTCACAGTTGTCAGACCTCAGGGGGGGGAGCCCCTACGAATTGGCCAACTCTGCTGCGTCCTTTCCTTTTCTTTTCTTTGTTTCGTTGGAATTTAGTGAAAACTGAGAATGCTTAAGTCGAGAATGAACAATTCTTTTCAATTCCTTTCCTCCAGGTTTCAATTTAGTTCAAAAAGGTTCTCTCGTGCCACAGAAAACTGTACAAGCTAGAGAGATGATGAAGAAAAATACCCTTAAAAAGGTTCAGGACTAGATGAAAAACCTGTAAATAATCACGACCACTTGACGAAAGATGTTTTTCGTCTTGTCACGAACTTAGGACAAAGAGAATATTCTGGGTCCCCGTGAGGAATCAAACCTCAGACCCTAGGATTGCGCTCTCCGATGCTCTTGACACCGCGCTACGAGACTCTACGGTGCGACAGGCCATTACAAGTTCATAAATGACAGGCGTCCGGCACACTGCTAGAATCAGCAGTTTTGAAAGCCTTCTGTGAGTTCATGAAATAAGCAAGACGGGGACTCTGTCTTATTTCTTTCATATTTTCTTGGAGAAATAAGATGCTAGTTACGCTTAGGGACCAAGAGGTTAAGAGAAACTTGGAAATGAAGTGAGATATTCTTTGGTCTTGCAACGAGCTTGGACTTAAAAAAAAAACTTTCACTTCTTGAATAAAGGCTGATAGTTTCGAAAGAAACTGTTTGGGGCTGCGTCGGTTGGGGTAACGAAATAATTTGGATATATCAACAAAGTTGAAATGGTAAATTGGCCACCGTAACGATTACAAAAGCTGACGTTTCGAGCGTTAGCCCTACGAAGGGCTAACGCTCGAAACGTCAGCTTTTGTAATCGTTACGGTGGCCAATTTACCATTTCAACTTTGTTGATATATCCAAATTATCACTTCTTGAAATGCAAATGACAAACTTACACTGACTGGTCGCCAGCTTGCACTCGGTATTCCTCTCCATCAAGCTGTACTAACGTCTCCTTCTTCTTGGAACCTTTCTTTCTAAATCTGCGTTTTTTCTCCTTCTGATCGCTAGACGCGGAGCTCGCACGGGACCGTGGTCTGTCTCGGCGGTGTCGATGTTTGTCCTTGTGGTGATGATGATGATGATGATAATGTCGATCAGTGCTATGGCACACAAATATATTAACACAAGCGGTTAATGGTTGATAAGGATGATACAGACGGGAAGATACAGTCAGCCTTCTACAGAAGTTCCCTAACTTTTTGAACATGCTGCTGCCGATGGTGTGCAGTGAGGCCAAACCCAAACACTCGAATCTACTCGTACACTCAACCCTTTAAATCACAGAAGTGATCAACTTGTAACTTCTCCCTATAATATCCATACAAAATTCAGCAATCACTTCATAGGAAGATTTAAACCTATCTAGTAGAAGTTGTTATCTTAATCAAATAAGAAATTCACGTGACTAATTTATAAGGAAATGTGCAGCAGTTACAGGGGGGAGTTGACAATCAGATTTTAGGTCTTATGGCGGCGCTACACCGCCGCTAACCGACTTTCTTTAAAGCCCCAGTTTCCACCTGATGGTCACCTTGGAAACAAAAGAGGCCGTTGCAGAAAGATGGCCGTTATATGCGGGTTGATGTGCAACATGACTAAAAACAATCAGGAAACATCAGTTTAGCCTTTTCGCGGACGTTTCGAAATACTGACTTCTGTTCGAGAGACTACTATTTATAAATACATTGAGTTGAATTATATATTCTAAGGTTTGACTTAGGAAATGGCAAATGGGTTTTTCCTCCCATCATGCATCAGTCTCTCTTGTTCAGCAGTTGACGAGTTAACTCCCAGAATTGGTTTTCGTGTAACTTCTTCCTTAAACGTCCACACTTTATCCAGCAAACAGGTAGTGAGAATACTCAAATTTATTAGGTAAGGTAAAAAGGTAAAGTCTGTTTAAGAGCCTAGTGGCCCATTAGACTGGTGCTTAACTCCGGTTTCTGTAGCATGAAGCGACTAGGAGTATTTCTACTCCCCCCTGGATGGGATGCCAGTCCAACGCAGGGTTACCCCCCAGCATTAGATTTGCCGGTACCCATTTATCAGGTACAAGTTGGTATCTTGGTCTCACACCAAATTCTCGTCTGAAAATGTAACAGCTAAAAGGGAGAATTAAGAATCAGACCTTGGGAATTTTTTTTGAGGTAAATAAATCATTACCTGAGTGACTTATCATCGTCATCGTCACCGTCATCATTAAGCTCTTCCATAACAGGAATAGGAACAGGATTCTTAGGTTTCTTGAGAGCTGACTTCAGAGGCTTCTTTCTCAAGCTGCTGTCCACAGATGGAGTCGTATCGGAAGTGGCCGCCGAACCTGACACCCCCTTGTCCTGTATAATCTCGGGGACGGCTTTGAACGAATGACGATCCTTCTTACGATCCATTGTCGGTAACTCTTCGTCACCGGTGTCGGAAGATTCCGATTCAGGTTCTCTTAACGGCTCTTCTTCGGGTGTCGTTTCTGTGACGAGGTTGGCAAGGAAGAGGGGAACAAGAAAAAAGGAATAAATTTCTTAAAACATAATTGCTAAAGTAATCAATTAAAAAAGAGACGGCGTGATCTGACTGGGCAAGAACTGAGTCAAATCTTAAAATCAGATACGTGCTCTGACGTGGGAAAGTGGTTAACACAATCAAAGCATTACGTGAACGTTAATGTCCTTTATTCACTCACCCATCGGTGTGCTATGCATGGGTCCATCCGAAGCGTAGAAAGGAGCTGGAAATAAAGGAAGAAACGAGTAAGAAGTTTTCGTTAAAATACAGATCTTGGGACAAAGTTGTTGAACTTAAAAGCTAACCCAGGGTAGATATGAATGTTTCACCCTTTCCACTATGACATCAGTATGTATATTCTCCATATTGTTCTCTATTCATTTCCTAAGATGCTGACAAGGAGAATTTGTTTAACAATCAAGAGCTTCTTCAGTCAGTGATCATTTCGTTTATTCTCGTTACCTTACTGTGTAATTTTGGGGTGATGTTTCGAGGAGAAATTAGATGTCAGTCAGTCTTAGGAATAAAGAGGTAAGATTGTTAAGCGCTCTTAACGTTGCTAGCTATACTTTAAAAAATTATTTGTTTTCCAACCTTTTCGACGTTTCTTCTTTGGAGTTTTATCCTTCGGCCACCCGTTCTCACTCGGAACTAAGAAAGAAAGAAAACGGTTAGACACTCGCCAAAGAGATTCTAGTTATTCGTTGTGGTAAATGCACCAGTAAAGAAGTATTATTGTTTGGAACACAGAATTTGCTATCTTAACATGTTCAACTTTTTGGCGGTCTGTAACAGCGTCAAGATAGATTAGCTTCTTCGAATGCTTCGACACTCTTTCTTAGAGCGTAGGGCGCGTGTACACGCTGTTGTGGCAGATTGGAAATTACTCTCATCTGCCATACAACTAAACAGACTGCATTTAAGTGATCCAAAATAAAGTTCATAAAAAATTTACGAGAAGTATAAATAATACGACAGAGCCATGTGCTTTGTACCTAGATCATCTTCGGATTCGGAGGAATCAGACGGGAGACCAAGCGAGGAAGGCCGCTCCTCTTCGTCTTCGGAAGATGACTCTGGTTGGGTGGTGCTGACCTCTGGAAAAGAAAATTATTGAAAAAGGCGATCAGTGGAAAAACATGAATATTGATGTACAAATACCTTTTTTTATTTTTTAAATCACGCTTTCAGCACATGGAAGCAATCTGTCATTTTCCACGGACGAACATGAACACAGCTACACACGAGTAGTAAGAGGGTACGATTTGTAGGTAGTGAGTAGTTACGGGTCACGTGGTGGGCGCCCAGTCAATAAACATGGAAAAAAAAAAAAAAAAAAAACTTCGAATGATTTATGCTTCTATTGTCTTAAAAACATTACCTGATTTATCCGTCTGTTCCCATATTTTCCTGGCTCGCTCTACAGATTCAAGAGAAAAGAAAACAGGATATGTAAGTCACTGTTTAAACTTGAAGCGGAATCAGATTTACGTGTCT